AAAAAAAAAAAAGAAAATAAACCTTTCCTCCTGGTTATCTATGTAGTTAATGAAGGGACTGCCCTTTTCCTGCTATGAGCAGTATAGTGATGGGAAGATGGTGTCCCACCAGGAGTACTTCCGGCTCCGTGGACCTCCTGTAAGTCCTGCTCAGGGTGCTGTCATGACTGAGAGAGGGACTTTGTTATCAAGGAAATACAGAACTCCGGGGGTTGAAAAACTTGAAAACTTGGAAAAGCAAGTGAAGGGAACTTTAAAACTGTATTGCTGAGGTGGGATGATTCTTTCTCTTTCTGACAGATGTTTGTTTCAATTCATATTCTTTCTCTCTCATACACATACACACATACAGACTCCTTGACATATTGAACTAAATTTGTCACTTGTTATGTTGTGAATATTTTTCCTTGCCATGAAATATTCTTCTAGAACATTAACTTCCCTGGTTGCACAGTATTTCAATTATAGCTGCACAGGGAGACACTCTGGTCTAATGCTAAAGTCCTTGCTTGGAGTCTGACAGCTTGGGTGTGAATCAGCTTCTCTATCTACCAGTTATGTGACCTTAACTTTCTTCTTGTGCCTCAGTTTGTCTTCTCTAAAGTGGGGCTAACAATACCTCAAGAGTTCGTATGAGGATTGAATGTGTTGATAAATGTATAAAGCACCTTGAATAGTGCTTGATTCCCTATAAGTACTCAACTAATGGTAGCTATTTGCTAGCTGTTATAAATTTATCAAAATTACCAGTTTCCTTTTGTCATACACTTAAAATGGAGCATCATTTTTTTGTCTAATTTTTTTGTTTATAAAAGTATTGTATAAAATTTGAAAAACATCAAAAAGGTTAAAAGAAGAAAATAAAATCACCGGTATATTTCTTCTGTTTAATTCTTTTTGCAAAATTTGCATTATATATAGTTACATATTTTCATTTTTACTTGATATGCTATTATAATTTCTCCAAATCATTAAATGTTGTTTGAAAATGTGATTTTTAATGGCTCCATTTCCTTTAATTTTTCCAATTTAACGGGTAAAAATTTCTATGTTTGAATTCATATTTCTCTGATTGTGCTGAAATAAAACACTTAAAATATTTTGTTGTAATATATATATATTAGCAATTGCCAAGAAATAATTGTTCATATTACATGCTCATTAAATAATTGAGGTATTAGTGGGTTTTAAAAAACTTTAGAAATACAAATACATATTTAAGATATTAAACTTTTATAGTTATCATAGATATTTTGCCCAGTTTGTCATTTGCCTTTGAACTTCATTTGCAGTGTTTTGGCATAGAGTTTTATGTAGTTAAGAGACTTTTTCTTTATAATTTCTTAACATTGCGCTTATGTTTAGATATTCTTTCTAATCCAAGGATTAATTTAAAACTATATATTTTAATCTTTTGATTGTTTTAATTTTTTGCCCTATATTATTTAACCCATTTGGAATATATTTGGGTAGTTGTGCGGAATTAAGAATTTGATTTTAGTTTCCCTCTGTTAGCTAATTGTGGCAGCTGTGAAGCTGACTGAGGGCAAAAGGATCAAAACTCTAACAACGCACAGGGCTGATGTCAGCCGGAGTCATGGGAAAGGCTTAGCTTCTAACAGAATGCGTGTTGCCCCCCAAATCTCATCACCCCAAGGAGAGGCATGCTTGATGAGGACAAAGCCAGATACACCAAGGACCCTGCTTCTGTCCCTTTCACATGCTTAAAGGCGAGTTTTGGGGGGCAAGGATCATGTGTTGGATTATGGAAAAATGGAGTTGCCCTGACTAAGCAGAAGCCAAAGAATTTGTCTCTTCTCAGCAACAGATTTTTTTTTTCCCGCCTCTATCATTTTTCCTTTGGCTTGTTGTGCTTCCTTTATTATAAATTCTTATAAATGCTGTAGTCTGTTTCAGGATTATTTTATTCAACTGATCTGTTAATTCTCACACATATTAGATTTTTTCAGTTGTAGAAATTTTATAATAATTTTTAAGACTTTTTTAAGAGCAGCTTGGGTTCAAAACAAAATTGAGAGGAAGGTACAGAGATTTCCTGTGTATCCCCTGTTTCCGTGTGTGCAGGCCCACTCCCAGTATCAGTGTCCCTTCACCAGAGGGTACGTTTCTTAGCATGGAGGAACCGACACTGACTCGTCATCAGCACTCGGAGTCCATAGCTCCCATTGGGGTTCACTCTTGGTGGTGGATGTTCTGTGAGTTTGGACAAGTGCTTCATGACATGTCTCTGTCATTACAGTGTCTATATAGAGTATTGTCAGTGCCCTGAGAACCCTCTGTGCTCTGCCTGCTCCTCCCTTCCCTGGTCAACTCCTAGCAGCCACTGATCTTTTTACTGTCTTTTTAGTTTTATCTTTTCCAGAATGTCGTATCATTGGAATTCTACAGTATGAACCCGGCCTCTTCAGACTGGCTTCTTTCACTGTGTAATTTGCATTTAAGTTTCCTCCATGTCTTTTCATGGCTTGATAGCTCATGTCCTTTTAGTCCTGAATAATATTCCATTGTCTGGATGTACTACAATTTATTTACCCATTCATCTACTAAAGGATATCTTGGTTGCTTCTAAGTTTTAGCGATTATGAAAATTTTTATAATAAATTTTAATACTTGGTAATACCATTTTTATGTCTTTTAATAATTACCAAAGTGAATACATAAGTCAAATTGTATTATAAGGTTTATTAAAAACATCAGTTAAATCCTTCATGGCTTGCCCTTCCCTGACCCTGAGTCCTGTCTTTTAGAGGCAAGAACTGTTTTAACTTCTTCAGTTGTATCTTCTGATATTAATATTTGTATTTGTAAATAATACATGTATATGAATCTCTCTTGATTTTTCCAATTTTATTTTTATTTTTTTAAAGATTTTATTTTTTTTTAAATAAAGGGTTTTTTTTAAATATTTATTTATTTGAGAGACTCGGGGGGAGGAGCAGAGGGACAGAGGGAGAAGCAGAGCAGGGAGCCCATTGCGGGGCTCAATCCCAGGACCCTGAGATCATGACCTGAGCCGAAGGCAGACGCTTAACAGACTGAGCCACCCAGGTGCCCCTAAAAGATTTTATTTTTAAGTAATCTCCACAACCAACTTGGGACTCGAACTCACGACCTGGAGGTCAAGAGTCACACGCTCCACTGACTGAGCCAGCCAGGCATCCCTGATTTTTCCAGTTTTAGACATCTACTGAGTTCAGTTCATACTATGAGGAGAAAGATTGGGCGCCTTCATTCTAAGTCAGTTCTTTTCTTGGTTTACTTCTTTGTTTTGGTGGAGCATATCCTCTAGTAGCTTTTTGACAAAGGACTCATGGGAGATACATTTTTTGAAAACTTCCATTCTAAAAATATGTTTATTTCTACCCTCACACTTCATATGATAGTTTGATGGGATAAGGAATGTTAGGCCAGAAATCATATTTTCTCTGTATTTAGAAGGTGATTTTTTAAAAATTTTATTATGTTAATCACCATACATTACATCATTAGTTTTTGATATAGTGTTCCATGATTCATTGTTCGCATATAACACCCAGTGCTCCTTTCAATACGTGCCCTCTTTAATACCCATCACCAGGCTAACCCATCCCCCCACCCTCCTCCCCTCTAGAACCCTGTTTGTTTCTCAGAGTCCATAGTCTCCATGGTTTGTCTCCCCCTCCGATCTCCCCCCTCTTCATTTTTCACTTCCTGCTATCTAGAAGGTGATATTCTGTCATCTGATGGAGTTTGGCAAACTCCTGTAAAAGGCCAGAGGAGATACTTTAGGCGTCAAGGGCCACACAGTCTCTTGTTCAGCTACTCAGCTGTCCTGTTGTAGTGAAGAAGCAGCTGCAGACGGTGTGTAAACACACGGGTGCTAGTGGGACTGACGGGAGGAGGTGGTGGGCAGGATGTGGCTCCGGGGCTCTTGGTTTGTCAGCTACTGTCTTGAGCTTCCAGTGTTGCTGTGTACAAGTTGCAAAATCTTTCTTCTGTGTGTGACTTTTTTCCCCTCTCTCGCAGCTTTTAGTATTTTTTTCTCCTTTTTATCATTTTCTTTTTTCTTTAGAGTTTATATCGTTTTTATCCCTTTCTAATATTTTGGTGCCGTTTTGAGAGGAGTTGTGGTAAAATGGGCCATGTTTATCTAGAAATTTGTTATTCTTCTATTTAAAAATCATTCTTCCCTATGTGTTTATTTTAGTTAAGCTTTATGATTAATTATATGTCAAGATCTGAGAAAAGTCCCATTGGTACTTTGATTAGCACGAGTTACTTACTAGGAACTTTAGCCCACATTCTGCGTGCACTCTGGGCTTTGCTTGTAGCCAATCTTTGCTCTAAATTTAGTTTCGATTCTCCCAAATGATTTATTTCATTAAAAAAAGCAGGAAGAAGAAGAACTTATATTAGGTGGGGTTTTATATGCTATGGAAATCTTTTAAAGCCATAGAATTAAATATTTACTGTTTAAGATATTATGTGGACCCTGCTTGTGTCTCCTCTCTTGCTGTGTTTCTCTCTGTCAAATAGATAAATAAAATCTTAAAAAAAAAGATATTATGTGGAATAATATTGTGTGGAAATTTTCTATTAAGATCTTGAAAGAAAAACCATGCAACTTTCCTCAGATTAAGAAAAAGCCATTCAGGGGCGCCTGGGTGGCTCAGTTGGTTAAGCGACTGCCTTTGGCTCAGGTCATGATCCCAGGGTCCTGGGATCGAGCCCCGCATCGGGCTCCCTGCTCTGTGGGAAGTCTGCTTGTGTAGGGGAAGTGGGGAAGCCTCTCCCCGCTCCCCCTGCTTGTGTTCCCTCTCTTGCTGTCTCTCTCTCTCTCTCTGTCAATTAAATAAATAAATAAAATCTTTTACAAAAAAGATCTTTGTTTTAAAAAAAAAAGAAAACCATTCATTAAACATTATAATGCATTAATGACAAATTTGAAAGATAATTCGAGAGTAATCTGACTGCTCTCAGAAATGTGTTTTGGTTTTCAGTTTTTTACAGTATTTCTTATATCCACACATAAAATGCTTCTCAGATACAATCATAAGGTAATCAAATATATAGTTTCATTTTTCTTTTCTTGATTTAATTTTCATACTTTCTGTATTTCTTTACAATTTTTATTGTTTTACTTATTGATGGTGATGTAACAGTTCAGGGGTATAGTTCATTCATTCATCCTGTTGACATACTTATTTTCTCCTACTCATGAATAATATTGCGATGATGACATATCAGGTATACAGTCTTTTCCTCCCATTTGGATTATTTTTTCATAATTAATTTCCAAAAGTGTAACTGGGTCATAGTAGTAGTAAACTAGAAATTGTTTTGGCTCTGGAAATCTATCTTTTCTTTATACCATACAAGTGTAACTTTGTAACTTTTTGTGCACAAATCTATTTCCTTATAATTTAATGCCACGAAGTGGCTTAGGTTAGAATGTTTGTCTTCCAGTAAGATTGTACACATTTACAATAGTCAGTAGCTTAGTCAGAAATTACTATGATGGAAAACTATTACCTTCACTCATTTCTCTTTTCCCTGAATTTCACGTAATACATGATTATGCCTCTCTTATGTGATTCTTAAATTACTGTGTATGTTGTTCGTCTTGACAGCTAAATTGTAAGCTCTCTGAGGGCACATACTGCATGTCACTTTTTTCCTGTCTTTCCCTACAGGACACCTGATAGGCACTAAAAGAACTTAAAGATTTATATTTCCAAATGGTTGTACTTGCCCCTTTATTTGAAATGGTTTTAATTGCTTCACACTAACTCAAGCTCTCCATTCCTCCCTTAGGTATTTTTGCACCACTTTCGAAGATAAGTAAAGCAAAAGATCGAAGGAAGAATATAGCACACACTTCTTCTGGAAAAGCTGTGCCTCTCATCAGGTCCCAGAAAATTGATGTAACTCATGTAACGTCAAAAGTAAACACTGGTAGGTCAAACCAGAAAGTTAAGTCTCTTCTTCAGCGTTTTTTTATTTCCTTTGCAGACTGCCTTATGTTTAGTGTGCTTCACACTTTTTTTGTTAGATGACTCTGGAACCTGAATTTAATAAAATCTGCATCTTACATGTTTTTAAATGTCAGTCATGGTTTATGATTTTGATTCCTGACAAGAGTATTTTACACTTGTTCCTTTCTTTTCTTTCTTTCCTACTACCTGCATACCTTCATCACCCCCTAAACTCCAAGCTCAATTTTATATCTCTGATAAATCCTTATTAACACAACTAGCTTTATGTTTCTCCCTTATTCAAGAATTTTAGTGACTGCTTTTTAATCAGAAGAAGTCCTGACTCTTTAAACTGGTGGTCTGAGTCCTTCCTGTATATAATGGGGTCTCTGGCTACCTCCATAGTTGAACTGTGATTCCTTGTCCTCACTCTTCCGTCCGTACTTAGTCTCGTGCTATTTCTCTGAGTGCAGTAATTTGACTTCTGCATTTTGAGGCCCTTACTGTGCTTTACCTCCTTATTTGGATGCTCTTTCTCCAAGAAGACTTCCCTGGGGACCCAGATCACTTTAATGTCTCCATTATGTCCACCCTTGTGTACACTTGTGTACACTTGTATCCACACCACACAATTATTTGTTAGTTTGGGTCTTGTCCTCTGGTTGCTTCATTTGTGCAGATCTTTATCCTCTCAGAATTTTAAACTTTAAGTGGACTGTGAGAGTATTTTTTACTTTGGTATTCACCGTAGTAGTACATAGCACAAAATACGTGCTCAGTAAGTACTTGCTAACTTACCAGTGGCTGAAGCAGAAAGGCTTTCTACCATGATTCAAGGATTTTGTCCAAGAATTGGTTGGCCTTTCTGCTCTCTTCCATTGAGCTATTTGAATATCTCTGTGTCAGTCTGTACTTCATAACCAATATAGTTTTTAACAAATAAATCTTGATACCTAGTAGAGGAAAGCTTCCTAGCTTATTCTTATACAGTGTCTTGCCTGTTTGGATCATTATAAATCACACTTCCCTATAAATTTTAGAATAAGCTGTTAAGTTTCTTTAAAAAAAAATCTGCTAAAGTTTTATTGATTTTGCATTTAAACCATAAGTCAATTTGGGAAGAACTGACATCTTTATAATATTCAGTCTTTTAATTGTAAGCTTAGAATATTGCTTTATTTAATTAGGTCCTTTAAAAATATGTCAATAGGATTTTCTAATTTTCTCCACAGCTCTTTTCGTACCAGTTTTGTTAGGTCTGTTCCTAGATACTTCATACTTTTTGATGCAGTTGTAAATGGTATCCTTTTAACCTGAAACCCAGAAGTTCACAGCCATCATGGAAAGAAAGCCCAAAGAGAAGCCCTCCATTTCTGGTCTAAGGATTAGGGAAGGGGTCCCCTACTAGACAGAAAATATAGGCAATCCCTTTTTTTTATGATAGCTTTTTTTCCCCCCCCTTTGGTCCATTCCCATGCTGGTCTCTGGGCAGTCCTGCATGGTGCAACAGCAGTGGTAGGTGGTGAGGCACCTGAAACCCCACGGGAGGGGAACACTTCTCTCTGACCAGAGAAACTGTGGCTCCAAGAACAGGGATGGAATCCCCAATAGTTTGTCTTCTGCTTGTTCCCAGGGGCAGAGTCAGTCCTGGGAGACTGTATGACAGAGCAGGGAAATCAAAGCCTAGGCATCCTGCCCAGATACCAGGAAGGGATGCCTCCGGGAGCAAGAAAGTAACAGGGAGACCATGGAGAGCAGGGAGCTCAAGAAAGTGATCTCAAAATGTTGGGTGTGAACTCCTGGGCTTGCTCTCCAGTGGTGCATGTGTGGATCTGACCACAGGCTTTGGTCTCCGGGGTAGACCGCTGCCCAGGTCCCAGGCACTGCTGGATGGCAAATCATAAGAGAAAGATCCCAAAGAGTCTTTGGAAACTGAACTGACATTGGAACCACAGGGCACAGGAGGTGGTTAGGGATGTCCAGCCTGAACTGGCTTGGGTTGACTCCTTCATAAAACAAAACAAAACAATAAACATTCTCTGTAGAATTTAAGTAAGACCCAGAGTCCCACAATGTAATATTCAAAATGTACAGGATACAATCCAAAATTGCTCAAAATAGAAAAACCAGGAAAATCTCAACATCTCTCAAGGAAAAAGACAGTTAAAGGTTGCCAACCCTAACAGGACACAGACATGACACAGATAGAGACTTTAAATAATACATTAGCCATTCTTTAAGAATTAAGGTTAATACTCTTGAAATAAGTGAAAAGAAAGTTCAGAGAAATGAGGATATAAAAAAGAATCAAATGATGTGTGAGCACACATGCACCTGCACACGGATGCACAAAGGAGCTTGGTTAGAACTGGGGTGACCTACGATTGGCAGATTGGATCAGTGTTGGTGTCCTGCTTGTGGGGTTATACTATAGTTATGTGAAAAATTACCTTTGGTGAAATTGGGCACAGTGTGCAAGAGATCTCCCTGTATTACTTTATACAACTGCATGTGAATCTTCTGTGACTCAATTAAAAAATTCAAGTAAGAAAGAACCAAATGGACATGTTAAAACTGAAAACTATAACTGAAAAATAAGAAACGCAGTCCGTGGGGTGCCTTCACAGAGTCTCTCTTACCCACCCCTCTGTTCAGTTCCTGCTGTTGTCACTCTGGTGTTCATTCCACCTACGGTAAGAACTTCTCCCTGGTCCATGCTTCCTTCCCCTGCCCCTCTCGCTTCCTTCTAAACTTTGCTGTCAGGGTGATGTTATTTCCCCCCTCTGTTCATGCCAGCCCTGTTCAAGTCCGTCAGAGGCGCATTCCTTCCACAAGAAGACCAGGTCCTTATCTGGCACTGTCCTCCTTTGAGATTTCACTCTGACCTGTCTATCCAGTCTTACTTCTCCCAACGTCCCAAAAATACTCTTTATTCCAGCCATGCTACTTCTCCATCTGTGACCCTGTTCTTCAGATTTTTCTTTTCTTTTTGGCCATCTACAATGCCTATCTTCAGTTCTTTCTTTCTTTCCTTTTCTTTTCTTTCTTTCTAAGATTTTATTTATTTGAGAGAGAGAGACCATGGGCGGGCAGAAGGAGAGGGAGAAGCAGACTCTCTGCTGAGCTGGGAGCCCAGTGTGAGGCTCGATCCCAGGACCCTGAGGTCATGACCTGAGCTGGAGAAAGACACTTAACTGACTGAACCACCCAGGTGCCCCTGGAAGTCTTACCTGTCCTTCAAGACATCTCAGAATGTGATCTCCTTGATGAGATATTAATCTTTGTAACCACAATTATTTTCATTTTCCTCTGTGTTAGTGCTTTATCAATAAATGTCCTCATACTTTACTTATTCATGCTCACATCCTTCTACCATTCTGAGTTGAGAAGGTGCTCCTTTCGGGCTGGGACCATGTCTCGTTCCCGCTGGTGATGCTGAGTGCCAAGGATAGTACTTCACTCAGATGCTTCCTAAGCGAGAAGAATTGAAATGGGTGCTTGATGGAATTTAAAACTGGGTCGAGTCCGTTAGGTTTCCTATTTAAATAATTTGGTTCTGTAGAATGGAAACAGAAGTCTTCATAAGGCGAAGTATTATTTGTGGGCTTCTTTTTAAAGTGAGTCTGTTCGTGACACTTGGGTGTGGTACTAGCGGGTCTGTCGTTGTCAGAGCGCCGGGGGCAGAGAGTATGGGGCTTCTTCCTGTTTCACGTTCGTTTGCATGACGAGTGGCTACGATGGTTTGCAAAATTTTTACCCAGAATTCACTATCTAAGTAGAAACTCTGCTGTAACCGATTTGCAGACACATGAGTGAAATCTGTGAGTTGTGTGCAAGTCCTGGTCCGTGTACGGTGGTTGTCCTAGAGCTGCGTGAGTTTTGCTCTCTACCTGCCGGTGTTGTGCGGACATACTCATGAGTGTGTGAAGTGTCAAACAGCTAGGTAGCTGGCTTTAACTGTTTATAGAATTTAGAATTCCTTAGTGGATTGTTAAATAGGTCTAAAAGAGACCTTGGTGGTATTTGAGGAAATTGATTGAGGTTTTCAGAGGGGCTGAGAATGCATTCTTTTCCCCCGCCTCTTCATGTCATGAAATATTGGATCGGCCCCGGCTCTCTGTGAATTTACTATCCGGCATGTTTCCAGAAGTGGAGAAGATTTAGATAATGAGGGATGTCTGTACTTTAAACAGCAAGTACATCTGTATGTTTAATGTTGAAGTTCTTTCTTGCTGAACATGTTTTGTTTCTACGTGCTAGGATTAATGACTTCAAAAAAAGATAACGCTTCTGAATCAACACTTTCATTGCCTCCTGGTGAAGAACCGAAACCCGTAACAGAGAAAGATGGTAAAATAATTTTATAACTTCCATTCTAAAAATTTAGTTTACAGATGGAACTTCAAAATAACATAGTGATACAGCTTATATGGGGGCTAAGTTTTAGTGTTTTTGAGAGAAAAATCATTGTAGTAAAAAATTATCCTCAGAAATACCTTAAGCAACTCATCGTAAAGTGTGTATGTGGTTTTGGTATACAATGCTATGTGGTGCCTCTGTGTACACTTATATTAGAGAGCTACCAGGTTAATTTAAACGGGAGACTAAAAGGAAATTCCAAGTACAGATGGCTTGATAAAAATGTTTAAAATTGCCTTCAGCTGTCAAATCATTGGGTGAATAGAGCATGAACAACACATTCAAGAGTATTCCTGCTTGCCTTCAGGTTAGCTCAAAACGTTTTTTTAGAAGATTTTATTTATTTATTAGAGAGAGAGAGAGAGAGCACAAGCAGGGGGAGAAGGCAGGGAGAGAGGGAGAAGCAGGCTTCCTGCTGAGCAGGGAGCCCGATGCGGGGCTCGATCCCAGGACCCTGGGATCATGACCTGAGCCGAAGGCAAGACGCTTAATGACTGAGCCACCCTGGCGCCCCAACTCAAAACATTTTAATACTACCTTTTTTTTATCTTAAATTAATAGAATTTTTACGTGTAAATAAGATTGGATTGTACTGAGCCATCTAAAGTGGGAGGTGAGAGAGAGTGTGGGGGGAATAGGGAGGTAGTCAGTTTCAGTGAACCTGGATGTGCTCTTCTGTGTGAGTGTCCTCGTGCAGCATGAACCTTTACAGTACAATAGCTTGGCTGATAAAGTCTTGTCTGTATGAACTACAGGACAGCTGGATGAAACCAGGCATTTAATTCAACACTAGATATTCCACAGCTGAGAAAGCTAAATGGAGGGTTTCAGAGGGATTTACCTGGGAAGCATCTTACTGGCTCACTTCTTACTGCCCACCCTTCGCTGTGTTCTTTTCCTTCACCTGTCTTAGGTACCCTGCTTGGACCCAGCAGCAGCTCCTCCTCCACATCATCTTTGGAACACAAACCGAGCTACCCCAAGAAACTGAATGCACGTAGCAATAACAAGAAGACAATGAGCAAAAGCCCGTCTGTCTCCTCTAGAGCCAGTGCTGGTATCTATGGCTTTTTCAACCAGGCTTTCTTGGTGTTTTTTATCTTGGTTTGTTTGTAAGTAGATTTGCTCTTTTTAAATGTGTAGAAGGAACGTTTTACTTCAGTCAGATTGAACTACTTGTACTCTTCTGTCTTGCCCGTGCCCCTCCCTTCTCGTGAGCGTCCTTGGTACCCCCGCCTCCCTTCCCGTGCTCCTGCCGTGTCCTTGTCTGGACTGACTTCCTCCCTACTACATGCATGTAACGCCTCTGACCCTGTAAGGTTCATTTTAGAAATTTATGATAGATCCTCAGATATGTGGAAACCATGCGGTTATTATCTTTCTTACCTCTTTTCTAATCTGGACCTAATAATAACTAACACTTATTGTATACTTATTATTTCAGGTTCTATTCTAAGCACTTTACATACCTTATTTCACTTAATTCTCAAAACAAACCTTTGGGTAGGTACTATTATTCTCACCCTCATTTTATGAATGAGGGACCCGAGGCTTAGGGGGGAGGTAAGTCATTGGTGCCTGATGGCAGTTTCTAAGTGGCACGCCTGGGCTTTAGCCTGAGTTCGGTCTGCTGCTTCCTCTGCTGCTCTTAGGTTTTGCCTCCATCCCAAGTACCTTCCACTCTTCCTCCTGCTCCTGGGTCTCCAGACCCCTCACGGCCAGCCCGTGGAGAGCTGAACTGTTGCCCGTGGGCACAGCACAGTGTAAGGCCCCTCCTGCAATGTGGCGACCACACCGTCATCCTGGCTCCAAAGGAGCCTCCGGCCGGGGCCCTTCTTATTGCCGCTTCACTTAGGACTTATCTGCATTCTCATTTAGTTGAATGTTAGAGGTTTCATCCCTCTGCATTCTGTTGCTTACACCTTGAATACTAGCTTTCCCACATACTTTTGTGCCATCTTCATATTTGAAGTTCAAGTCCTTGTTTAACACTAGGTAGGAGAGGGTCAGTGGCTCTCCTGACAGGTGGATGATGGTAACCCATTGGGATGTGGCGAGTCCCAGGTAACCTTGTTCAGTCCACATTTCTCCAGTTATATGTTAGGATATAGAAAGCACTTCATAGCAGACATCTTGCTGAAATCAACATATATGAAACATACTGCCGTTCACTCATTTGGCTACCTAGCAAACTTGTTCAGACACAAAATGAAACCCTTTTGGCATAAATTGTTTTCACTGAACCTCATAATAAGACTCTCATTCACGTACTTTTAACAGTTATACTGAAGGAGTATTTTATTATAGAAAATGTTTGTGACAGGTTTTTTTTTTTTTTCTCTTTAAAATACTGTACTGTGATGGGGAGGAGCCCTCAGCGATAACATTGACGTAATAAACCTATAGGGTGGGACTCTAAAAGCAGAGGACCTAGAAGTTTTGCCTGAAATTGTTTACTTGGAACTTATATTTTCAGTGTAGGTGCTCCTTCCCCTGTGAGCAGTTTCTGTCTAGCCCCCTGAAGAACAGAGCTACCAAGACAGGGATATAGCATTCCTGCTTGTCCTCATTTTATTCAGAGTACAAGGCCTCCTTCACTTGGAATTTGGGCTTTTGACATTTACTTGATTTTAAAATTTATATGTGCATATGGAAGTACCTGTTTTACTTTTATAAGAAGTAGTTCTAGTGTCCCTATGTATTTAACCTTTTTATCCTTTTTATAAATTTAAGCCTGATATAGGCTTAGATAGCAGTAGATGAAGAGACCTGTCAATTAGAATGAGCAAGAAGGCCTTTTAGGAGGGGAGGGAGAGAGAATGGGAGATCCGTGAGAGGAAGTCCATGTTTGGGACCTCAGAGACATTTCCCTAGGACACTTTAGAAATCTAGAGTGAGTAGGTATTTCACTTTCTCCATAGATTTGCGTTTGAGGGATGTGAGCATACTGGCAAGTGAGGATAAAGAGCAGAAAGAACAGATGAGGGAAATGGCAGAGGTAGGGAGGTGTGTATTCTCAGCGTCGTTGTACCCCATGATCAAACATGCTGTCCTTTACACAGCCTGGGGACCCGCCTGAGGACTTGTGGTCATAGAGCCCCGGGCTCTCGTCCGGGTGTGCCATCGACTACCTGTGAACACCATGTCTTAGTTAATTCCTGAGTCTGTGTCTTATCTATAGTTGTAATTCTGTGGAAAGCACTTTGTAAACTCTGAAGTGCATTAGAAATATTCGTTATTATGAGGACCTAGGACTTTTCAGTATAGCGCTTTATCCACCTCTGCCTTCTCTCTGGGTTCATGTTCCTCATTTGTTGCCATGGCTTTAGTTTCTCTCCTGTTGGCGGTGTGACTTATCCTCTGTCCCCTGTCCTCACAGAGGCTTCTGTAGGCCTTCCCAGATGATGGCTGTTCAAGTCTGTTTATGGACTGATGGGAGAAGCCTCAAGGGCCCACTTTCTGTTATAATTGAACAGCTTTCCAGACAGCATTTCTCTAGGATGTTTGATAGTTGGCATTTCAGGGATTAGGTTTGAATCAAGGTAAGGGGGATTGGTTTGGTTCCTAAGAAGGAAATCAGTTTGAGCTAATTGGAAACTTAGAGCAATTTTCACGTTCAGATCACATTCCCGAATATATAATTCACACTGAGTCCCAATGAACGACTCTAATTCTAGCATTTTGGCAGAACAGGGATTGGTACAATACAGCCCGTGGGCCGAATCCAACCTGCCCCTATTTCTGTCAAGTTTTACTGGAACATACCAGGCCTGTTTTGCCTTTGTGCTGGGGTAGCAGAACCAAGTAGTTAGGACAGAGATGGTATGGCCACATTGCCTCACGTACTCACTCAGTGGCCCTTTGCAGAAAAAGCGTGTTGGCCTCTGTTCGAGTAAGTGCACCCCGGGCAGTCTGGGTAGAACTGATGCTTTACCAGGAACCATGTGCGCGTCAGGTTCTCGTGGCAATAATTTTTTGAGGAAACCCTTCACAAGTTCCTTGAATGTCTTGACCTCACATGTGAGAACCACAGCTGTAGGTGATGTGTATCATGAAAGGTGTCATACATTGAAATCTCTCAACTAGCTAGACTGGTTAGAAACATGTGGTGATTTTTTGGCTAATTACTTTTTGAGGTTGGTTTTTTTTTTTCTTCCCCTTTGCTATTTTCCCTTCTCTTTTCCTGCCCCTTTCCCTTTCCCCACCGACCAATTAAACAGGTTTGAATTCCTCAGGAGCATCTGTAGCAAATAACAGCCGCTGTGCAGGAGAGCCCCACCTCGGAGATAGAGTGCTGGTGGTAGGCCAGAGAATCGGCACCGTTAAGTTCTTCGGGACAACAAACTTTGCTCCAGGTAACTCATCTGTATATTCTTGGCTCAGCTTGAGCGCTTCAGAATACAAAAGGTTTAAAATTTTACATGTAGGGAATTCCTGATGAACAGTTCTTGTGGGTGTTATCTATGGCACCGGCAAAGCCAAACAGTGATGGAAACACTGACTGGACAAGGGTTGACTGTCATCCGCGAAATCTCGGTTGTATTTTAAATTGTCTAATGTTAAAATTCGTGGCCGTTCTCCAACTTCATGCTCACTGATTGCCAAACATGCTCAATAACAGAGAGAAAATATCAGGATTAGATTTTTGCTAAGGTTATTCTTTTTTTTTAATTTCGATTTTATATTTAAATTCTAGTTGACATCTAATTGGTAAAATTGGTGTTAGGTGTAGACTTCAGTGATTCATCCCTTACATGTAACAACACCCAGTGCTCATCACAAGTGCCCTCCTTTAATCCCCCTCCCCCATCCACCCTATCCTCCACCTCCCTCCCTCCAGCAACCCTCAGTTTGTTCTCTGTAGTTAAGAGTCTCTTATGGTTTGCTTCCTTTTTTTTTCTTCCCTTCCCCAATATTCATCTGTTTTGTTTCTTAAATTCCACATACGAGTGAAATCATATTTGTCATTCTCTGTCTGACTTATTTCGCTTAGCGTAATACACTCTAGCTCCATCCATGTTGTTGCAAATGGCAAGATTTCATTCTTTTTGATAGCTGAGTAATATTCCAGGGGATTTATACCACATCTTTATCCATTCATCAGCTGATAGACATTTGGGCTCTTTCCATAATGTGGCTATTGTTGATAATGCTGCTATAAACATCGGGGTGCATGTACCCCTTTGAATCAATATTTTTGTATCCTTTGGGTAAATTGCTAAGGATATTCTTAAAATGAGTTCACAGCATATAACTTTTATCTGAGTGGCTTGGAAAGAAAAACCAACAGACAGGTTTGAGGGAAAATGAAAAGCTTCTGCGCACCCTGGGACCTTAAAAATACGTGTTTGTGTATTTACATATTCATTCCAATCTAGACTTAATATTGTGTTTCCAGAAGTAAAGATTAGCTTTCTTTTGTATTTTCAGTGATTTTAATTTCAAATATAGAAGCCAGTTGACTGAAACCATGTTTGTGTATTTTAAATGGTAGTATGCTATTTTGACACATGGTGGCATTGCAGCATTTTAGGAAAAGGTTACCGAGAACATTGATTTTAAATTTGTGGTCTTCTGTCAAGAACTGTGAAGGATCTGAGATTTTGTGTATAAGCTGACAAGTTAGATTGCCAGTTTCACAGATGCTAATGGAAGACGTTAGGCTCCTGATTCAAGGACAGGACTTCTGGAGTCCCAGCAGCGGCAGAAGCAGAGGGTCAGCATTTTCTTGCACTCGCTTCCTGAGCCCCAGTTCCCGGGGTGGTGGGGGAGGTGACACCTGCACACCCAGTGGTTTATGCTACAGGAGAAGAGCCCTGAGCTTAAGGAATCTGAACCTGTATATTAGCCAACACGCATGCCTGTATTTTGGGTGGGGCATCCGGCCCGCACCCTGTCTCTGTCCTCCAAGGCTGTCCTCTGTGCAGACATCCATGGGAAAGACAGTGCCTCTGTTCATAAGACATGCAGAAGCATGAGTGAGCCACGGAGACTTGTCTCCCAGCACAGTCTTGTTTCATTATACCACTTATAATTGCAGTCCGGCTAATTGATTTGAGATGGGCTGTGTGTTGTATAATTCATGTCTCTCACAGGTCTCCAGGTAGTAATTGAGATGAGTTAGGATGGTCTTAATATAGTTCTCAAATAAAAACTTTTAAGACCCCAAAGGTGGGGTATTTTTCACAATCTCCATGCCTTTTGAGTTCCCTTTTTCTATATTAAAACAAGGTTAGAGTGGTTTGGGTCACTGGATGCAATTCATTGTTTTAGGTTGACTTTTAATTTTTAAATTCCTAAGGTTAAGCATTTAGAAACTTGGGTAGTCATAAGCAAACGTAAAGTTGGAAACTTTTCTGTTAAAGTCATTCTGTCCTTTTAGAAAGTGGTAGCATGTATGTCTTGTGGCATCAAAATTTAGATCAGTCAGTTCTAGAGAACAGTGCTGATTCATTGAAGCTTTTTAGATTGTAAGATCTAGACCTGAAGGATGTCATTTTTAGCCTCTTTAGCCTTTTTATTGGAAAAAAAATTACCATTTAAGTGGGAAGCCATACATACCTCATCACTATCAGACAAGGTGTAGTCACAGTTGTTAACACTTGTCATGTCTTTCTGTGGGATGTTATACTTTTTCAAGAGTCATATGGTAAGTGTGTTGCCATTATATGGTACATTGTACCATTGAACATTGTAACTGTGGCACTCAGAAATAAAAATGGCAACCAGACAACCTTGGTTAATGACATTCGGAAATGTGATGACCTATTTCCAGAGCATTAGTATGGCTAAGAAGTAAGTTTGTTTACGTTACTCTGTACTCATATGCTGTTTAAGTATAGAGGACTGCGGTCATGCATTAGTCTTTTCAGTGCAAAAGTACTGAGAAGTGGGCTCAAGGGTCATCTTTTTGAACATAAGAGGAAAAGACTGGAGAACTTCTAGGTTGCCATTTTTGAGGTTATATAGACTCTTTGAATTAGTCATCTGAAAGAAACAGTATTTTTGTATTTTGGAATTTGGAATTTGCAGTAAGTTTCTCAACATCTGTATTCTTATTTTTTATTTGATACTGATTGTAAGAGACCAGATGCAATTACTACTGTATTCTCCTTTTACATAAAAATGAATGGATCATTAGACATTTTTAACTGGTCTTGAGGTACCCTCCATTTGAGAATCCTTATTCCAGGAGTATGTATGTATACACTTAGACTAGGAGTGTATGTCCATCTACCTAACTCTCACCACACTGAAAGCAACCTCACTGCTTTAGTTTTGGCCCTCTAGAAAAGGAAGTCCTATTATTTTCCTCAGAGTGGGTCCTTTTACATACTTAAAATAAGCCTTTTAGAAAATTCTTCCTACTAGCTAATCTAAATCTTTTCACTAAGGTTAAGTATTATGATTTTTCTTTTTATCCTGGGTGGGAAAACAAAAAGAGAAAAAGAGGAGTCACCCTGAAGTCTAATCATATTTTCCATGTTACTTTTGTCCTTCCTTAATTATTTAAGGACAGTCTATGATGTTGGAATGTTGGGAGAGTGAAAGGAGAAGATTGCACCTGCACTTTATGATCCATACGGCTCAGTGTTGTGTTGTGCTGCTCTCACTGAAACGGGCTGTATCACTGAGTCAAGGGCAGTTTCTTTTTCATTATAGGTTGTAGATGTACTGTGGTCATAACACTACTTGCATAATAGCTAAGTCGTGCCAAATTTGTGTATTTTATCTCTCTCCTTTAATGTACAGCTCTGTAATTGTGCTTGTAAAATGTTTTTCCTGTTCATTTTTTCAAATTTTCAAATTTTATCATTTGAAAGCTCAACGATCATGATGCTCTTCCATCATTTTGGTCATTTTGTGAAAATGTTAAGCCATTCGGGTTCTGGGTTTGTATAATAGCATAACCATTTTGGGTAAAATGCGGATGCTTTTAAAATCCAATATTCTCGTTCTAGGATATTGGTACGGTATAGAGCTTGAGAAACCCCATGGCAAGAATGATGGTTCAGTTGGAGGTGTGCAGTATTTTAGTTGTTCTCCAAGATATGGAATATTTGCTCCCCCATCCAGGGTACAAAGGTGAGAAAAAGGAAATTTATGTTTTTTCACAAGGCCTTTTTGTAATTTGCAGTGGTTTATAGTTAGAGTTCCTCATTTTATATTAAAGACAGGCACTGACTACAGCTCATGTCTTCTTTCAAGGGGTTAACCCACCACCTTCTTCAGAGAGAAGGCTCATGGAAAGCTAAATTTGCTTTGCTGAGGATTTGCAATTTTAAAACCCTCCTTTATTCCTCATTTGCAAACCCTATGAGTTTGTGTAGGCTATTAGAAGTGGCGTTTGCTGCTAAGAACAGTGAGAGCAGCAAGCTTAATCTGTCATGCAAACAAAAGTAAAAATGCTCTCTGATTGCTTCAGTCACATCCTAACTACATTAAATTTCCTGCCAGCAGGCACCCCATTCATTCTCCTCCAAACCTAATGGAACCAAAATGGCTTTTTCCTCTGATTTCTTTAGTTTTCAAAAATAGATAGGCAGTAGATCTTCGGGGGAAGTGAAGCTTTAAGGATTTATATATAATGTACCTCCTCGGTGTTTCTCCTTAAGATGGTACACTTCTGGACCAGCTCACTCTGACTTTAAAAAAACAAGTTGAGCAGAAACAAGTTCTCATGAAATCCCAGGTACCATTATGTGAAATGACTTATGTGCTGAGAGAAGTTGGCTTGGCATGCTTTTCCGTGCAGGGGAAACGGGATGCTAATCTTTAAATTGGAAAGAACATATATGGTGTAATCATGTTCATGAGAACAGATCTGCCATCGCATCCCAGAGCCCCATCTAGTTCCCTTCTAGCTAGGCTGTGTGACTGCCTCCTGGCAGATTTTAGAGTTTTTTTTTAGATCTGTCTTCCACCTCACTTTGTTTTTCTTAATAATTTCACATAATTTTTGTATTAATTTCCTTCTTTGATGTACTTGATATACTTCTTTTCTCATTATTTATGACAGTATGGTATTGAACATATGTAATGCTTTGCAGTGTATGAAGTATCTTCAATTGAATGTTGTTTCATTTGATCCTAATAAGTATTGAGTCAGGTAAGCTGGAAAATAACAGTAATTATGACAAACATTTATTGAGCATTTAGTAAATGGTGGGCTCTGTACAGTGTACTTTAGATGCATATTTCATTAATCCCCCTCAAACCCAGTGAGTTGTAAGTTATTATAGTTGTTCCATTTTGCCAGTGAAGAAAAGTTTCAAGAGATAAAGTGACTTAACTAAAGTCATATAGTTAGCATAGGGGAGCAAAAAATTTTCCTCTGCCCTCTTAGGGTCAGTAGCTGATGAGGGGGTTGTGGGGGGTGTTGTCTGTGAATTAAATTGACAACAGATAGATTAACAGGAGAAAAGGCATACAAATTTATTACATTTAAATTTGCATGCACCTGGGCATCACAGAAAGAAGTGAATACCCATATAAATGGTGAGATTGGAGTTTTTGTAGACCATCTGAGTAGGAGAAAGGGAGGGAGAAAAAGGCCACTTGTGGGAGGGCAGATGGTTTTTAGGAAAGCTAACTGGGTGGGAGAAGATAGTTTGTGATGTGGTGTTAACCTCCCAGCTCCTCACCTATGAGAAGAGTCGGTCTTCCCTGCTTGATGAAACTGCTTGATGAAACTGGATATAAGGACAGAAGAGTTCTTTTTTGGGAGCACCTGTTTTAGGCAGATAAGGAGAGTTCAGAGAAAGCCTCTGCCTGCATTTGTTGTTGTTGTTGTTTTTTAATTTTTATTGTTATGTTAATCACCATACATTACATCATTTGTTTTTGATGTAGTGTTCCATGATTCATTGTTTGTGCATAACACCCAGTGCTCCACGCAGAACGTGCCCTCCCCAATAC